TGTAAACACTTTATAACAACCATCATTAATACATGATATTTTAAGTTTAGTTAATAGTTGTTTACCGTTAACAAATAATGAAATGATAATTACTAATTTCTAATTATTTAAGGTTTTTTTTTAACCAAACTGTTCTCTTTCCCATCTCGTCAAATACTTGGTCAGCAGCCATATACGTCAATCTATGATGCTCTGGGTACCCCTCCTGCATTGGTTTTGGACGTTCAGGGGCCGAGTGTCAATTTACACTTATTACGTGCATTGTGTCTTTTCAAAATAAACTTCTATTTTCACAGAAAATGTACAATTTCTGCTTGTTAAATGCATGAAGTCTGTTTTTAAAAATAAACTTGGAACGTAGGTAACTTTAGGCAACAAAAGCAGTTTACAAAACAACATCATGGTTTGGCTTAAAATACAGGGTTCTCAAATATAATAAAATATAAACATGTCTTGCCAAACTTGCCTATCGTTTTTTAAACATGATAGATTCAAGCTCTATTCAAACATAATTTTAGCTAGCTGCCATACATTAAGGAAGGGACGGAACGTGGGGAGAAAATAAAGAAACGTACATGATGGTAGACAAAACGTTGTCACATATTTACGCATATTAGAGCTATGTTACTTTGAAAGCTACAGAAAATAGATTTGCCCTGATGTTAGATCACATACAACATTATCCATGGAAGCTTACAGCAACAATTTCACTACACACAACAAAATTCCTGACTTTTCCAGGCCTGGAAAATGTGACTGTGATATTCCATGACTTTTCCAGGTTTTCCATGACCAAGGGAACCCTGAAAAGTAATATGTCCCTGACTAATTTAATGTCACGTCCCTTGACATATGTCACTGGTGTAGCAGGCGTCACATACTAGCACACTACACTGTTACAAAAATAACTCAATTGGCATTTGGTTTCACACAGGAAATGAACAGTGGTTTCATGGGTGAAAGCGCAGACCACCTCCACTCCCACCTGTCCTATGCAGATTTTCTTGCTCTTCATACTACAGCAGGTGCTACAAGCATCAAAAAATGCTGCGGCCCAGTTTGTCTCATACTTTGTCTAAAGGCTGCCTCTCTGCCCCAGTATGGGACACTGATGGTCGCTGACCAAGTGTTGATGTTTGGTGAGTTGGGAGTGAGACCAGGTTGTTTTAAAACAGTTTATTGTTGCAGACAATCTAATATTTTATATACGAGATTAAGTACTTGTTAATGGTTAATAACTGGTTTGTCAACAGTCTATAAACATTATTAAGATGCTTTTTTGAAGTTCTCATTTATGATAATAATACCTTGTTAAATGGCTGATGAATAAATACTGTGTGGTGTATCTATTAACATTATATTGGTGACCATTACAAAGTTGTTTATAGATGCACCACACAGTATTTATTAACCATTTAACAGAGGTAGGACCCAAGTCATTCTTTTGCATCTATAACACAGCAACTTCGTAATGCCCAACCAAATAATGTTAATAGACGCATCACACAGTATTTATTCAGCAATTAACAAGGTATTATAATGTTTATAGATGCTTTACAAACCACTTATTAACCATTAACAAATACTTAATCTCAGATCCACCTTATTCCTAGCCCCCATGATACCTTGCGTGAATTACGGGCTCACCTTCCGGCTGCGAACTGGAATCAGCTTTTTCCGATAGTAACGATACATAACGGTACACTCATCCTCTTTTCTAAGGCGATCATGCAATAAAACGTAATACAAACCTTCTGTTACACCTGTTCAGACGGGAAACCGCAATCTTACCTCCAACAGCCATCTCAAATCGTTGTTTTTCTTTTTCAAGCAAGCAGTGAGTGAGCAACAAGTTTGTCATGCTCTAACAGCATGTTGTTAAATTTTAAAAAGCCAGAGCTAGCTTATTGTAAACATCTACTCCATCTAAAAGATGATTTATAATTTCTCACAAACGGTCACTAACACAACATTTAACACGTATTAATTTTAGCTCCATGTGAAATCAATAAATGTGATGTTTACCAGCTAATGCTCCACTCGTCTGCCTTAACATAACCCTATTTATCCCGTAGTCAATAAGGAATAATGAATTTTATTTTCTTATACTGGACAATCCAGTATTAACACTGTACAGTACAGGTGGCAAGCTATTCCTCTCTGTAGGCAGGTGATTAAAACTGTACCACTGGTTACAGGAACAATCTCTTTTTGTTCTGGCTGCATGTTCAACACTGTTGTTGGAGCAACAAATTTCAGTCTGGTTGTTAGTAAAGTTACAGATGTGGACAGTGCTAAAGGCACCAGAGCTGCTCAAAGACATTTTTAGAAAATGCTAATTTAACGTATCCGTAAAAATACAAAGCAATTTTAGCTAAACTGAAGGCAAATTACTTAAAAAAACAGAACTGCAGTTGGTGGTTAGTCACCAAGATTAGCCACTGAAACCGACCATATACAATCAAAGTGACTAACTACTTCTGCTGTCGCCATTATCATTTCTACAGAAGTGCCCTCAGGAATAAGGTGGATATAAAACATTAGATTGTGTGCAACAATAAACTGCTTAACGAACCTGGTCTCACTCTCACCTCATCAATCTGACGCTTGTTCAGCAGCCCTTGGTGTCCAATACCAAGGTACAGAGGCAGCCTTTAGTGGCAGTATGAGACAAACCAGGCGGCAGTGTTTTTTGATGCTCGGAGCAACTGCTGTAGTATAAAGAGCAAGAAAGTCAGCATTGGGTGGGTGGGAGTGGAGGTGGTGCGGACTTTCACCCATGAGACCGCTGTTTGTTTCCTGTGTGAAACCAAAAGTCAGTTGAGTTTTTTTCATAATAATGTAGTGTGCTAGTATGTGACTCGTGCTATACTAACGACGTACAGTACAGGCCAAAAGTTTGGACACACCTTCTCATTCAATGCATTATCTTTATTTTCATGACTATTTACATTGTAGATTCTCACTGAAGGCATCAAAACTGAATGAACACATGTGGAGTTATGTACTTAACAAAAAAAGGTGAAATAACTGAAAACATGTTTTATATTCTAGTTTCTTCAAAATAGCCACCCTTTGCTCTGATTACTGCTTTGCACACTCTTGGCATTCTCTCCATGAGCTTCAAGAGGTAGTCACCTGAAATGGTTTTCCAACAGTCTTGAAGGAGTTCCCAGAGGTGTTTAGCACTTGTTGGCCCCTTTGCCTTCACTCTGCGGTCCAGCTCACCCCAAACCATTTCGATTGGGTTCAGGTCTGGTGTGTGGAGGCCAGGTCATCTGCCGCAGCACTCTATCACTCTCCTTCTTGGTCAAATAGCCCTTACACAGCCTGGAGGTGTGTTTGGGGTCATTGTCCTGTTGAAAAATAAATGATCGTCCAACTAAACGCAAACCGGATGGGATGGCATGTCGCTGCAGGATGCTGTGGTAGCCATGCTGGTTCAGTGTGCCTTCAATTTTGAATAAATCCCCAACAGTGTCACCAGCAAAACACCCCCACACCATCACACCTCCTCCTCCATGCTTCACAGTGGGAACCAGGCATGTGGAATCCATCCGTTCACCTTTTCTGCGTCTCACAAAGACAAGGCAGTTGGAACCAAAGATCTCAAATTTGGACTCATCAGACCAAAGCACAGATTTCCACTGGTCTAATGTCCATTCCTTGTGTTTCTTGGCCCAAACAAATCTCTTCTGCTTGTTGCCTCTCCTTAGCAGTGGTTTCCTAGCAGCTATTTGACCATGAAGGCCTGATTCGCGCAGTCTCCTCTTAACAGTTGTTCTAGAGATGGGTCTGCTGCTAGAACTCTGTGTGGCATTCATCTGGTCTCTGATCTGAGCTGCTGATAACTTGCGATTTCTGAGGCTGGTGACTCGGATGAACTTATCCTCAGAAGCAGAGGTGACTCTTGGTCTTCCTTTCCTGGGTCGGTCCTCATGTGTGCCAGTTTCGTTGTAGCGCTTGATGGTTTTTGCGACTCCACTTGGGGACACATTTAAAGTTTTTGCAATTTTCCGGACTGACTGACCTTCATTTCTTAAAGTAATGATGGCCACTCATTTTTCTTTAGTTAGCTGATTGGTTCTTGCCATAATATGAATTTTAACAGTTGTCCAATAGGGCTGTCGGCTGTGTATTAACCTGACTTCTGCACAACACAACTGATGGTCCCAACCCCATTGATAAAGCAAGAAATTCCACTAATTAACCCTGATAAGGCACACCTGTGAAGTGGAAACCATTTCAGGTGACTACCTCTTGAAGCTCATGGAGAGAATGCCAAGAGTGTGCAAAGCAGTAATCAGAGCAAAGGGTGGCTATTTTGAAGAAACTAGAATATAAAACATGTTTTCAGTTATTTCACCTTTTTTTGTTAAGTACATAACTCCACATGTGTTCATTCATAGTTTTGATGCCTTCAGTGAGAATCTACAATGTAAATAGTCATGAAAATAAAGAAAACGCATTGAATGAGAAGGTGTGTCCAAACTTTTGGCCTGTACTGTATGTCACATGACGTTACATTACATTGGTAAGAAACACACTTATTTTAAGCCAAACCATGATGTTTTTTCTAAATCTAACCACATGCTTTTGTTGCCTAGACCTGAGGGGAACTGCCCATTGGTCCGACAGCCCATTGGTCCAACATCCCATTGTTCCGACCATATTAAACCCATTGTTCCGAAGTCCGTTCCGAAATCATCATGATGCCCTGTGGTTAAGGTCTGGTTAGGTTTAGGCACAAAAACCACTTGGTTAGGGTCAGGAAAAGATCATGGTGTGGGTTAAAATGAAAAAGAAAGTGACAAACACATAAGCCGTGAGCCTGCTCCGCCTCAAGCCTTCCCCAGCTGACCCAGAGCCGGTCGCAGCGCACCATCAAGGTAGAAATACGCCCGCCGGGAGCCATTCAGCACCGTGGACCGTCGAACTAATGGGATGTCGGACCAATGGGCTGTCGGACCAATGACATGGACCCGACCTGAGGAAGTAAACCTAAAAATTAAATTAATTACCTACATTTAAGTTTAATTTGAAAAACAGACTGCATGCATTTAACAAGCAGAAATGGTACGTTTCCTTGGAAAACGGAAATCTATTTTGAAAAGACCCAATGTGCATAACGAGTGAAAATTGACACACTGTCCCTGAACATCTGAAACCAGCACAGGAGGGGTACCTAGAACATCATAGTTGACGTTTAGGAAATGAGAATGGGTTGGTTAAAAGAACACAAATAATAGCATTACTAATATAAGCAAACATCAATAATTATCATTTAATTGTCTGTTAACAGTTCAATAAATTATTGATTTACCATTGATTAATGATGGTTATTGTAAAGTGTTGTCTGTGTATTAAACTAAACCATCACTCAGCTGTGTTTGAGATTAATTTAAGATCAAGAAAAACTTGATACAACCTGAGGCAAAACTTCATTTAAAATGTACAGCAAGTGAGAGCATTACTGCTAGAATTATTGTTGAAATTAAGTTAAGCTTAGCAGTTCTGTTAATGTAAACACATCTTAAGTTAACAGTCATGGCGTTTACATCTAAATGCTGAAATGTAAAACAAGTGTTTGACGTCTGAGAGGGGACTGAAAAAATAGACATAACATTTATAAGACATGCATACATCAGGGATGAAATCATCTTAGAAAACAGGAAGGTCTCTCAGTCTTACACAGTCAACTGCTCTAACTTGACCTGGAAGGGATATAAATAGTGCAATATAAACTGGGCCTTCAGATGTTAACTGCATTAACTGGCCCGCGTTATAAAGAATAACAGAGATCAGGGTTTCACTGGCAGATAAACGTCATCACTATCAGCCTTGTTTTTCAGTTATTAATTTGATAAATGTACAAACTCCAAACTTCATATTGTGTCTGATTGAAAGAATTAGCATGCAGAGCCCTCACATTGATGAGATTCCACATAAAAGTGACTTAAAGTAAGCAGGAATAAGATTTTGCTCTGTTTTGACTTTTCAAAAATGAAAACAAATGACTCCCGATTGCACGGTTTTAGCCATGAAACGGTTGTGTGTATATTAATTCAATTTTTAAGTATCATTCTGTTGGAGTTGGATAATAGCTCTGCGTTCATGTCACATCAGAGGAACCAAAAAAGACTGGATATCTTGTTGCTTTAAATGCACACTCTGTGTATGACATTAACCCAGCCTATAAAAGGATCACCAAGGTTTTTTTGCCATATGTTGTTCAAGCTGCTCTCTGGTTAGAAACTGGGGCACATAGTTTGTTTTTCTGGTAACAGCCATATCATGAGAGAGGTTATTGAGGCCTCAACCATAGCGTGCATTAACTTCAACTGGATTGCTCTGTCTTGCAAATTAAAGATGAATTTGTCACTAGAAAGAATCATATCACAGATCTGGTCAACTATGATGATTCATTAGCAAGCTGTTTTAACAGCTGACAGTAAGTGATGCAGTTCCCTGAAAGCGAGTGTAAATTTAAAGAGGACCTATTATTTTCAGGTTGTATTTTAGGTTTGTACTAGAACCTGTTAAAAAGCCAGTCTAAGTTTCCAGGTCTGCCGTGTCTTGTTAAATGTTTAAATGTTTCCCTGACATTAGCATGTAGCTACATGTAGCAGCGTAGATTATGTAATGTCTTTGACCCAGGCCCGCCCTACTGTGCTGTGATTAGCTAGTACTTGTCACAATGGCAGCGTCCAGAATGGAGGCGGTCAGGGCAAAAAGGTCATGTTCGGGTTAGTACTGGCCAATCACAGCACAGTAGGAAGGGAATAGGTGCAACACGCTTGGGCAAAAACACAGCTTGCAGTAGTATGCCTGGAGCAGACGAGCGAGAATCCATCACGAGCTAACGTCAGCTCATAGGCAAAGAAGAAAAAAAAAAAAAAACATTGGAAAGCCTGAGGTTACTTTTAAGTATGTTTAACTAATTATCTGAAACTTTGGCCACGTTTAATATGAACATATGGCATTGTAACATTATAAATATGGCAGATAATTAAAAAACACATAATAGGTCCCCTTTAAATGCTGAGAAATCATCTCTACATGTGCTTTTTAATTTGGAAATGTTAATTTGAGTAGCATTTACCCTCACCAATACACAGAGAAAAGCATTGCAGGCACAGACATTAGTCTCTACAGTGGGACTTACATTAAACAAGTACAACTTGTAATTGAATATTTCAGCATATTACTATTTGTTTTTACAGCCAAATTTATTATCATGTAACATGCTAACTTGTTCATTTTTAATCGTCTCGCATTTAGCATTAATGTTGGTTTATATTTGCTGATGTCTTTATGGTTACTATCAGAGAAAACCATGCCCTCCAGTTTCACTTTTAACCAAAAAAGACACTTGAATATCACATAGAAAAATAGAAATTGTTTGTTACGGTCAATGATGGAAAATGCAGTTTAAATATTCATTAGCACTGTGTAACCTCTTCTTCTAATGTGGAAAAATTCAACTGCTAACACTACTTCCTTGACTGGTAAAAAAAAAACAACAGGGAGGAAGACAATTATTTGTCTTCTGCTGTTTGTTATACGATCGTCTCTCTCAGATTTGCAGGGAGGGTAAAGAGGTGTGGGTTCGGGGCAGAATGTAATAAAACCTCATTAGTAATCTCTACAGGAACAACCATGACATTTGGCTCGGGGGGCTCCTCTGGACCACTCTGGGCCCCTGTGTCATGTGACACTGTCTCAGAAGTAGGAGGCTGTTGGCTTGCTAGAGTTTCTAAATCAGCCTGCTCCATCGCCTCTGCAAGGTCCACGTTGCTTCCATAGAGCACTCCCATCCTTCGAGCGAGCATGCCCTCTTTCTCCGGTGCATCTTCACCTTCGTCCTTTCTACCCATCCTCTTACAGCGGTACATAAAAGCAGCATGGTGTATGCAGCGTCTCAGCAGGTGGGTGCGGTAAGCCCTCTGAATGACTACAGCAGCTATCCTCTCTTCTTTGTGGCGCACCGTCGTGGTGATCGGTGCAAAGGAGTCTGAGGTGGGGTTGCTCAGGATGAACTTGGCCTCAATGCTCTCCCGCATGGCCACCATCTCAATTGTGTCTCCCAATACCATCTGCGTGACGGCCGACAGGACATCCAGGCAGTGGATCCGGTCCCCAATGACCAGGGGTAGATCCATTTCAATCAGGCGGAGCCTGTTGGGCTTGGCAACCCTCAGTGGCGGCTGCAAGGTGTCACAGAAATCTGAGAGCTGGCTGTACTCAATGAACTGAGTTCCATCTACATCAAACTTCTCCCATGTCTCATTGAACATCTCAAAGTCTTCCTCACAGAGAGCGTCGCCACTCTCCTCCTGCGCCACATTGAAGTTCTCTAAGATAATGGCGATGTACATGTTGACCACCACTAAGAAAGAGATGATGATGTAGCTGCAGAAGAATATCATGCTCATGCCCGGGTTGCCGCAATTCCCCTTTACATCCGTGCCCGGGTTCTCAATGTCTGGATCGCAGTCTGGATACTCCTTGTTCAGCATTGGAAGTAAAAGCCCATCCCAGCCGGCTGACGTCGTGATCTCAAACAAGCAAATAATGCTGCCACCAAACGTCTCAAAATTAAATATATCGTCAATTCCGGCCTGTTTTTTAACATAGGCAAAGTTTGACATGCCAAATATGGAGAAGATGAACATAATGAGGAAGAGCAGAAGGCCAATGTTGAATAGGGCAGGAAGTGACATCATGAGAGCAAAGAGAAGCGTCCGAATGCCCTTTGCTCCTTTAATAAGACGCAGAATCCTGCCTATTCTGGCAAGTCTGATGACTCTGAACAGAGTCGGTGACACAAAGTACTTCTCGATCAGGTCAGAGAGCATTGTACCTGAAATAAAAGGAGAAAATATGTGAACCCAGATTGTCTGTTTGAACACAATTTGCAGTTTCTAAGTAATAATTCACCCACCCGCTATGGACAAGATGACCACAACAAAGTCAAAAACGTTCCATCCGTTGGTGAAGAAGTATTGTCGCAGGGCAAACAGCTTCAACACGCACTCCCCAGTGAAGACGACAATGAAAGCCACGTTTAGCTTAAACAGGAAGTCTTCCTTCTCCGGGCTCTGGTCGTCCGTCTCCACCATCATGGTCACCATGTTGAGGCAGATGAGCACCATGATGAAGATGTCAAAGAACTGCTGACTGATGAGGTCAAACACCATTCCCTGGATTAGGTTCTGTAGGTCAAGGAGAAGGCGAGGAACAGAAACACAAATCCAACAGGGTCATTTGGCCTGTTCACACCAGCAGTGTGCAGAAAGGGTCAGCGCAGGGGTCACCAGTGACCTCGTCATGCCACGCATGCCGAGCTGATGTGTCATTACTCCGGTCACCTCGTTAATACTTTTCAACATCAAACAATGTAGTTTAGGGCTAAACTAATGATTATTTTCATTATTGTTTAATCTGCCCATTATTTCAGTTGTTTTTTTTGTCAATTAAATGCCAATGTGACGTCTTTACATGGTATGTTTTTTCTGATCAACAGTCCAAAAATAACAAAATGTTGAGTTTATTATCATATATGACAAAGAAATGCATCAAATTTTCACATCTGAGAAGCATGAACCAGGCAAATATTTGGCTTTTTTGCTTAAAAATGTCTAAAATGGTAATTAAATGACCAAAATAGTTGCCAATTAAGTTTCTGCTTATTGTATAATCAATTGATCGAGTTTTTGTTGCAGCTCTAAAGTTGTTAAAATGCAGTTGTAGTTAAAAACTAATCTTGAGTCTTTACCAAACAATATAACACATGTTGTTGGTTTAACTATCAGCTGTAAATGAGTAGCAAACCGTTGGACGTGGAATTGGCTTCTGTGGCTTCTTGGAACCAAGTTTCTTCATGGCGTCGTAGTACTTCTTTTGTTCCTCAGTCATGAAGATGTCTTTATCTCCAAAGTGCAGACACAACATAATACAAACGTCATTATACTGTAGGTATTTGAATGATGTATAGATGTAACTGTTCAGTTGCTTTTGCATTGGCGCAGAATACTTCTGGGGGAAAAAAAAGATACTTATCTTTTTCTTCTGTTGGTTGAAATTGTCGATGATGACACCAATGAAGAGGTTGAGTGTGAAGAAAGAGCCAAAGATGATGAAGATGACAAAGTACATGTACATGTAGAGGTTGATCTCATAAGAAGGCTGCTCCTCTACCTAGGAAGCGACAAAACATTTAAAGCATTAGGAAAAAAAACAAGAGTAGGCATTCCTTTCGCTCTTAGCAGATTTAAAGTATATTTAATCACAAGAAGAATCACAAACGCAGAAAATTCTTGATGATTTGAAGTCCTAAAGGTCAGCATTTAACAACAGCGAAATTGTATCGTAAGATCTGTTTAGAAACTGAAATGACAGTGAAACATATCAATGCTCTTTTCAATGCCAGACTCCATTGACAAAAACAGCAACTTTACATCACTGAACACAGGAGCTGCTGGTCTACCACTGCCTCTATCAGTTTGTTTGCGTTATCGTGTGACTTTGGTGTTTTAAAGGATTAGTTTGGATTTACCACATGATAACAAAAATAGACCCAAACGCATTGATCGAGGCAGTAGTAGACCAGCAAGTAAAGTATAGTAAAATTACTGTTTTTGTCAATGGAGTCTCGCTTTGAAGAGAGCATAGATAAGCTGCACTTCCAGTTCAGTTCCCCGTTGGAAAGGGCTGTATGTTTGGAAAGTACCAAGCATACGACTGGATAAATGGGACTTGGATTATATTGTGCGAGTTGTGTGAGAGGTTGTAAACAGATGATTTGATATAGTTTTGCTTTTGTTAAACGTGGACCCCTTTGAGTTCAATTCATCAAGGATTCTCTCCATTTTTGGATTCTTCGTCCACCATTGAGAAAAACAAAGTCTTCTTTACAGATTCAATGTAACACAGAGCGAGTAACTGAGACACACATGTTCATTTGGGGGTGAAGTATCCCTTTAAGTAAGAAAGATGGTTGAGAAGACACGGGATAAAAGGTTATACTGGAATATGACACTAGTCAGGAGAGGCAGTTGTTGATCCAAAGACTCACTTCACCATCACCATCTGTCGCATATATATTACATATATATTCAATTAACTTAAAGTGCAGGGGGCTGGTAGAGAGGGAGGGAAGAATATATGAACTCCCGACTTGGATTTCTTGATATCATTTATTTTATTTCTATCAATACCCAATACAAAAGTACATTTTTTTAGTATAATGTTAGTTAAGTTATTCCAAAGTTATTTGGGATTTCTTATAAATAATTCCTCCATTTTCATGTGTCGCCACGATCATTTTTCTAATTATCATTAGATAATATTGTAATTCACTAAAAGTATCCATGAACAATGGAACAATCGATTCTTTACTTTTTAATCGCTGAAATTTAATATCTCTTATGTCATTCTTGCTTTCTTTTATATTCGTGAGGTCTTATAAAACACAGTATTTGAGGCCGATGTTACTGCAGTTTTGTTGTGCTTGCATCATGACAATTAGGAAAATAGTATGAATGAGGGGTCATCTCAATCTGTACACAGACTCATTTAAATTTAATTAACAAATGTTTGACCTTGTATTCAGCACTGATACATATGACTGTAAAACAAAGGGCTACTAACATATTTAATACTAAATATAATATTTCAGTATACATTCAATATATATTTCAATAATTACCTCTCTTGAGTCAACGGCAGCATACATGATGTCCATCCAGCCTTTAAAAGTTGACTGAAAACACAGCACATTGTTTCAAAATCACTGATCACAAACATTTTTTACAAGAATTTAATTTCCAAGTCTATAATAACAGAAACAGCACTCCTCACCACTTGAAGCAGAGACAGGTAGCCTTGTCCCACATTGTCATAGTTGACTTTGACGTTGACCCAGCGGGCCTCCGCTGTGGCCTCTTTCACGGCCATGCAGTCGCTCTTGTTGTTGACCTCGTCCATGGGGAAAAGCTCATCCGAGGTGGTATTGATACAGCGGTAGAACTTCCCAGCAAACAGGTTGACTCCCATGATGCTGAAGATGAGCCAGAAGATGAGACACACCAGCAGCACATTGAAGATGGAGGGAATCGCTCCAACGAGAGCGTTCACCACCACCTGCCCAAAGAGAGGACTTTGTTTAAATTAAGGGATTACATATAGAAATGTATAGAAATGTTTCCTAGTTAGTTTAGTTTGGAAAAGTGAGCAACAAAGTCAGCAAGTTTTACCAGTATCCTTACCTCAGGCAGCGCTGGTACAGCAGCCACGGTAAAAGCATGCAGTCAGCACACATTGTAAAAAGGAAGCCAATCAAATCAATGTGAATATGCACTAAAGATCACAACAGTGTTAGTGGTGGAGGAAACATTCATACTCTTTACACAGGTAAAAGTACCACTACAACAATGCAAATACACTCAATGAGTAAGGGTGTTTTCACACTTGGTCCTTTTCAGCCCCCTAAACAGAATCAGAGCGAGTGACACTCCAAGAGAACTCGGACCCCTCTGAAGTGAACCAAACTCAGACCACCTCCCGAGACAGTTTGAGTTCTGTTTGCTTCAAGTCCGCAGTGCGGTTTACTCAACCTGTGCCTTGTGAACACAAAGTGCTCCAGGTTCGCTTTGCTCTTTGCCATTGTATTCAGCCCTCTAAATCACATGCTGTTGCACTGGGACACTTGAAAAACCATATGAAACTACGTTGGCCTGTAACACTTGCAAGGACGCAGGACGAGTAGTTTGGTCCACAGAAGATACTGCACGTCTCCAGATGTGAAATGTAGAATACATCAAACAGCAACCGTCTGAAGCACAGAAACACTAAGGTTTTCCTCCAGTTTTAAGTTCATCTGAAAGTGAGGGGCTTCATAATGTACAGTATCACGTCAAAGTAAAAAAATTTAAAAAATTCGTCTATATATATTATATAGACTATAGCGTGAACAGAAAGAGGACTGAGGCCCCATCAGAGCTGAAGTTGACCAGAAAGAGAACTGAGTCCGCTTTCAAATGAACTGACAATGTGAACACAAAAAGTCCCCTTTCTGTTGGTCCACTTTTTGGTGCACTTTAAGAGGACTGAGATCGGTTCACTTAAAGAGGACTAAATGTGAAAACACCCCAAGAGTCCTGCATTTTAAACCATTCTTATGTGGAAGTACCACTACAACAATGCAAAAATACTCTATTACAAGTAAAAGTCCTGCATATCAAATCCTACTCAAGTAAACGTACCACTACAACAGTACAAAAATACTCCATTACAAGTAAAAATTCTGCATTGTAAATACGACTTCAGCACCATTTAAACGATGCAAAGAGTCTATTACTAGGAAAAGTTCTGCAGATTAATTCCTACTAGACTAAAAGAACCATTTAAACTGCTTAACCTTACCAGACAGCCTTTTCAACAGGGAAATGAAGCCGTTATGTTGCTTTCTTCAAATCACAAGACTCCTCTGACAAAAATAGTAATTGTTATTGTGGATACGGACTATCGCACAGCACTTTCGTTCGCTTCCGTGCCTGTTAGAGGGTTAGAGGAATATCGTTTCGGAGGGTTGTCATGGATGAGGCATGTGAGCCGGGCTAGGGATGTTTAAATGTAGCAACATCATCATGCAGAAACCTACGTCAGGTTATGAGGGACAGTGTAAAAAAAACCCCAAAAAAACACACACACATTACGACCAAATATTAATGTCTGGATTTCAGTACATGAGGAATACTGCTGGAAAGCTGCAGAATAATATCAAAACCTCAAAAAATAATGGACCCACCATGTAATCTATTGTTTCTTTTTCATTTAAAGAACGTATGTGTGATTAATGTAAAATATTAATCTGAAAAGTAACTCTAGCCGTCACTTAAATGTAATCCTGTGTAAAGTAATGTAATAATGAATGTAAAAAAAAAAATACTCTGAACCAGTAAGTATAGCTGTCAAATAAATGCATAGTATAAAGTAACATAAAATGGAAATACTCAAGTGTACTTAGTTACTTTCCATCACTGGTTAGCCATGCACATGGTTCAAACATGGTCACACAGCCAGAGACTCACCCTCATCCCTTCAAATCTTGACAGCGCTCGAAGAGGCCTCAGCGCCCTGAGAGTCCTGAGGGATTTGATTGGTCCAAGCTCAGCGTATCCCATCCAGTTGGCAGCTAAACTAATCAGGGAAATCTGTGACAGAATCAAAACATTTCCTATTCAAGTGTTACCACGGATTCTATCTGACATTAAAACAGGTTTGTGCACATGTTCTGTTGTTACATACATACACACACACACAGGTCAGCTTTAAAATGAGAAATCAAAACTTACATCTACGATGAAAAAGTCTAACCAACACCAGGCATTGGTGAAGTAGGTCTTGAAGCCGTACGCCACCCATTTAAGGAGCATCTCGATGATAAATACGTAGGTGAAAACTTTGTCTGCGTACTCCAGAATAATTTTGATGGTTCGGCGTCTTTCTATGTGTATGTCCTCAAAGGCCTGCCAAAGGGAGACATGAGACACCTAGATACAGGTCCTAACAGTAATAGAGTATCTTAACACTCTCATAAAACAGTCAGCATTTCTAAATGTGTTGCACTGATGACAGCATGACTCACCAGAGCTCCGCTGCTAAGGAGGATCATGAAGATGATGAAGGTTTCAAACCAGTCGTGCTCCACAATTGTGAAGCAAGTTCTGCGGAGGTTCCACCATTTCTTGCCTTTACCTTCGGTGATGTCCACAGTCAGACACGGCCAGCGCCTGACGCAGTCTGATGGGAGAGGACACCAAAGGGTCACTGTCTGTCATTTTACAGTTCATGGTTACAGGGACGGTTCACCCCCAGATCAAAGATAGATATTTTATCCTCTCACCTGTAGTGCTATTTAACAGTCTAAATTGTTTTGGTGTGAGTTTCAGAGTGTTGTTATCTGCCGTAGAGATCTCTGACTTCTCTCTAATATAATGGAACAAGATGGCACTCAGCTTGTGGTGCTCAAAGCTCCAAAAAAATACATTTCAAAGACTCAACAGCAATGTCTCTTTCCAGAAATCATGACCTGCTTACTCAAGATAATCCACAGACCTTGTTGTGAGCAGTTTCATGTAGGAACTATTTTCTTTCTACTGAACTACACCCACCAACTGTATCACCACATAGAGGGAAGGGGTGAACCTACTACTAGCTCACCTAGCACCACTGGGCTAACGTTACAGCTCAGCCGAGGAGGATGCCACAAATGTTTACATTTCATGCTTTCACGAGCACAAGCCTATCATCCCTGAGTACATGCACGTTTCCTTCTGTGTGGTGATACTGTTGGCAGTTATCGTTCGGTAGAAAGAAAATAGTTCCTGCGAGAAACTGCTCACAACAAGGTGTGTGGATTATCTTGAGTATCAGGGTCATGATTTCTGGAAAGAGACATTGATGTTGAGTTTTTCAAATGTATTTTTGGTGCATAGAGCACCAGAAGCCAAGTGCCATCTAGTTCCATTAGGGCTCATACACTTGCAATGTCTTCTATCGCCTGGAAAACACAAGGTCGGGCACTGGGTGCTACTTTTGTGCCAACTTTCAAAGGCGCAGATGTGGTTTGCACCTGATGTTGCTAATTGACCATAACCAGCACCTGGTCATAGCTTACTTAGTAGAAATCCTGAGTACAGAGCTGATCTCTTTCCAGACGTTTAGGCTATAATAAAATATTCTCCATGGAACGGATGTAAAGCTCTGCGTAGCTCTGCACTAAAATGATCAATATCTTCTCCATATTTATTTTAGACTGATATTTACTGAAGAAAGGAAAGACGTCTACTGGCTGTGATTGGTCGTTTCTTGTCACATAATTTCCAAAAGTTTGTTTATCTCGTGGTGGAGCCGTCTCACCCTGAAAAACAGGCACATGGGCAGGGTAGCTTTTGAGCGCACCTCCATGTGTCTACACTGACAACAATGGATTTAAAGGCAGAAAAACACACCCTGTGTCCAGGCCCTTATATTGAATAATAAAATATAACACTACAGGTAAGAGAAAAAATATGTACTTTAGATTTTGGGGGGAACTGTCCCTTTAAATGATTCTGTTTTACAGTGGTTGTTCATACCGTCAGTGAAGCAGGCCTCTGGCTCCTCAGGTTCTGGCTCTTCTTCCTCCTCTTCTTCTGGTTCAGGCTCAGGTGGCTGATAGTCCACTGTGCTACACACTGAAGAATCCCCATCAGTCAAAGCACCCATCAGCTAGTCAAGAATTACAATTAAAGCTCAGTTACAAAGCCAACATGCAAAATATACATTATGAATGCATCAAACTACAGATGAAGATTTAGTCACAAGGGTCCTTTTGTTCACGTGAGTCTGAGGAGTTACTCACTTTGACATTTCCCAGCGTACTATGTTCTTCTTCTAAGTTTTCCTGAAATAGCACGGGAACAGAGAATGAACTTCAGTAAGCATTCATGATGAGCAGTGAGACGAGTTTGTCTTTCCAAAAATATACTTTGACATTTGCTTTTGGTTATTTCACAGTAAACAACACAGCTAAAGGTCCTGCACAACACCTCAACAGGTGTTCTCACTTACACTGCCTGATTACACCTCATCTCTGGACTGTGGGGGCATATATAGACGCTGCAGCACACCTCCCTCATACTCATCTTTACCACTTATATTAGCACAGAGACTTTATTGATCTCACGTGTAATCTAATAAAAGTAGTGCAGCCATAAAGGCCCTGCTCATCCATACAGGTATTTTCATTTATTGTAGTTGATGAGACCTCTACTCAAGTTGTTCTGTGCTTTGCTGGGAATTGTGTGGGGTTTTTAAATTACATGTACCAATAAAAATGATACAAGTGTAAGTAGCAACATCCTACTTTAACAACATACATAAGGTGTAATTAGAAATCAATTTCTCATGAACTTCTCCTGAAGCCTGAATGATGGACAAAAAATGTGACTTTACGTCCATTTTAGGATCCAAGTGTGGGTGCATTTCATTGAACGGAAATGTAATGTAGTCGTGCTTTACTGGAGTGTGACGGTGTTCCTTAGTTGTGCAGAACATTTCAACAATGTAGTTCAGGAGCGCCTCGGGAGCCGCATGGTTACAGCACATGCCAAATAACAGCTATGGCCCGATCTGATCCCAGCCGGGGACCTTCGTAGCATGTTGTACTCTGCTCTTACTCCCCCCGTTTCCAGTCTTACTCTTCTCAGTCAATTATCCAAAAAAGGCAAAAAGGTAGTAATAATAATGTATTTCAAAAGGCTGTGCATGCTTATAGTGTTTCGAAAGAAAATCAGCAAATTTCCTGAGTAAGAAATCAGATTTTTTTTGAATAGGCAAAACTTGTGGTCACTGTTGATGAGGTTATAATGAGGTCCGTTTAATACATACAATTTGCAGCCGAACTCCCGCACATTGTCTAACTTGCAATAGTTATGCCTGATGAAGGTGTGTGGGAGTTTTTCAGCAAACCGGTCCTACTCATCACTCTGCTGTGCACCTGTTTTGAAATAAATGTATGAAGTATTCTTTTGTTCTCATTTATTACGTGCCACAATATATCTTCTAACTCCTATTTCTCAGCTTAATTTGTGAAGGTATGTTATCAGAATGGATAATTGTCAGATGAAGTGTCCATGATTGTCACTGTGGCTTTTAGTCAGTTCAATTCAATAAGCTTTCTTGGCATGACATTTCGTGTTAAATGTTGCTCTGTCTCGACCAATCTCTGAGGACAGAGCTGACACAACCGGTCTTCTTTAGGCAGCCTGTGCCTGCCAGTCGCTATGTCCAGGCTGTCCAAAGTCAGTCTGATCTGTCACGGAGGTCAGATAGTTTGCCCTTGTGTACTGTCAGTTTAGGGCCAAATGGCAGTGAGGTTTTTTTTTTAGGTTTTTCAGGTAGATGTCAAATAGTTGATATAGTTTTCTTCTTCTTAAGCTATAATTTGGTTGGGCTGGATTGTGCGAGGGTTGTCCTGCATATAATGTACAGCATACTGTCAATGTGCCCAAACAGATGAAGTACTCAGTGCTGAAGAGGCTCATCCTGATGGTGTTTTCAAAAAACTCAATTTATATTGTTTAAACTATCATTTTAAGATTGACACTGAAGTAAAAGGTGACACATGTTTAAAATATAGATGCTGTTGGTAGGTGATGCAGTGCAAGTGTACGTAGATGAATGACTAGACTGAACTGGTTGATTTATTTACTGTACTTACCGAGAAGTGTTTGTTTTTTTTCTCATCTGAAGTCTCTGAGTCATTGGCATTATCACCATCATCCTCTTCATCCTCGCCCAGGTTTTCAAAGTCTGACTCTCCCTGAGCGATCGGCACGTTGAGACTGAGTTCTCCATCCACAATAAATCCAGAGGGCCGGCCTTCAACCAAACAATTAGGTATCCCATCTGCCATTTTGAAATTCTGACCGGTGTCCAAGTGGTTCATTTCAATTTCCTCTGCTTTAGGGTCCTCGTCGTCCGTCGGACCCCGCTCGGGCTCCTCTGGCTCTTTGGGCTTCCTGCCGAGAATCTGCAGGACAATTCGCATGGCGAAGGCTTTGAACCAGTCGATGCCTCGCGTGATCCTGCCGATGGCAATCTGGAGGTTGTTCATCTCTCCGTCGTCGTCCCCCGCAGAGAGGTTGTCCCCGCTGAACGAGCTGAGCAGCAAGGCCAGGAAGAGGTTCAACACCTGAGGAAAGAAATGTGAAGAAGTGATGGAAGGTCACATAATAGAAACAATTTCCTTTTTCACCTCGAAATGACAAACTTTGCCTTGCAATAGATGCACAGTCCTTTCAGTATACAGCTACAGTATATGAAATATCTACAATTATTCAGTTAATATTAATGATTAATTTGTGGGGGGGTTTTTAGGTGAAGTATTCCTTTAAGAGTGATTGACTCCATTATAGTATAAAATGGATCCCTGTTGGGTCTGTAAGTTAAATAAATGTTAATTTTCCTTATTGCTGCATCAAAGTGAGCCAACATTGCTGAACTAAACACAAAGCTCCAAACTATCTCAGACACACATCACATATGGAATTGGTCCTGGAACGGCACATCAATGAACATTATTTCGTTTGCCTCCTGTTGCAGACGCAGCTATCTTTAGTGTCTAAACCTGTTAGTCAATTTCTCGGTTCCTATTTCCCAGGTTTAGCGGGAGATCATGGTTACACGGCAGGCTGATCTCCCTCATTCCAGGGTGGGAGCTGTGAATCAGTAAAGATGGCCGAGGGGGGAAAAGATGAGCTGCACAAACACAAACCCGACAGTGGAGGAGTGGGAACAGACATGCTGTTAGATTTAAATAAAAAAATGTACTAAAACAACTGTAGCAGAGGTTTTTTTAGTGTTAGTAATGATCAAATAATGCTCCAAGAAGAAATATAGATAGACATAGATATAGAAATATCAATGAGCTGATGTAAAAAGTTCTGTCTTCATCTAAAAGGAATGGTTTAACATTTTGCGAAATACACCTATTCACTTTCTTGCTTAGAGTCTCTCATGTCTATCAGTCTGAGGCTGGTTAGCTTAGCTTAACATAATGTCTTCAAGCACGGGGAAACAGTGAGCCTGGCTACATCCAAAGGTAAAAAAATATCTGCCGACCTGCACTTCTAATTTACATGTAGTATCTTGTCAGTTGAATTACACAGTGCGTCTTTTAGATACTGTAAGGTTACCAGGCAATCAGCAGGTTAGACACCTGTTTCCTCCTGCCTCCAGTCGTTATGCTAAGCTAAGCTAAAGATTTAAAGGAATACTTCAACCACAAAACGATCATTTGTTTATCAGTTACTCACCTTGTGTTTATTTTTCTTGCATGCCTTCATGGTGAACGAAGAATCCAAAAACTGAGAACATTCTTGATACATTTAAGTAAAAGGTGATATGTTTAACATTAAAACTATATCAGAGCCTCCATTTATCAACTCTCACACAACCCATGCATTATAATACAAGTCTATTGATCCAGTTGTATGATAGGTACTTCCAGAACACATGCATTTTTGCTAAAGTTTTTAAATTAGACTTGGATTTTACTGCACTAGTTGTGTGAGAGTTTGTAAACTGATGTTTTAATATAGTTTTGCTGTTTTAACACAGACTTCTTTTTCTTCAATTCATCAAGAATTTTCCCAGTTTTTGGATTCTTCGTTCACCATGGAGGTCCTTGAAAAAACACAAAGATTTATTTCATAAATTCAACATAACATGACCTCTTCACAAAACTCTCCGCAAGGAAATGGCTTATCAAAATGCCGCTCTATTCCTTTAAGATTTCCAGCTTTGAGAATCAATTCCACATGTTTTAATAATGATTGTCTGAGCCGTTTAAATACATAAAATAACATTAAAACTTTAGTGGTTTCCTTTCTCTTTAAAAAAAGAAACTCGTATTCCAGGATTCAATAAAGAGAGAAGATGAGAGCGTGGGGATTCAGGAGCATTTTTGATCTTGAGTGGGCTAAAGAGAAAAGATAATGAGCACAAAATTATCACATGCCCCTAAATATGCAAGTTAAATCCACTCCATATGCTGTGGCGCTGATGGCCTAATATGATTACCTCTCCATCAATTACGGTTCAATCTGCTATCAAATGACTTTTCCTTAACACCCAGTCCCCCCTGCCACCTGAGCCCTGCTCGCTCAGCTGTCTGTGCTTGTTCCATCAGTGGCAGCGTGCTTACTTGAGCCGGATCTTAGCACATACTCAAGGTCAAAACCACTGTTTGGTGGCTCAAGTCATTTGATTTAAATAGAACCCCCCCCCCTACCGTGAAGTGTGGAAATATACGATTTGCATTTATGTCGGTGCAGATAGTGTGCATCACAAAAAAGCCATCAAAGTTCTGGCACAGTGTGGCCGTTGCAATACTTTTGTCAGCTTGACGATGAGCCATTTCCTTTCCGTTTCTATGAATAACCTAACAGGAAATGGTTTTGGCTCTGGTCTTTAAATATGATGCTGAGATGATGTCTGAGAGTGATCGGCTGTATTATCTGTCCTACGTCCTTGTTCCGTGAGGCCAAGACAAAATGTCAGGGACAGTATTTCACCAAGTTCTTCACCAAGTATCACAAACTGCTGCCTCTTCACGCAAATTCACCCAGACACTGTGTGAAGAGGTTAGTAAGTCAGATTACCAGTAATATGAAATAATACATGGTAATATTCTGTTCGAATCTGTATCTGTGTCCACGTTGTAGCTCAAGCCACCTTAAACTCCAAAAACCATGCAAATCTAAGTTGTATTCTGTCTTGTGTGCTCTCCGTACTCATACTATGATACCTACAGTGCCCCCTGGTGGAGACAATTTTCTCCCCCAGCTGTATCTGTCTAACAATAGACTGCTGAGACATGCAGGCCACAAAATCTCCTGGTATTATAATAAGATAACTGTTAGATTTAGAAAGATTTTACAAAATAGTTTGTCAGCTTTACAGCTTCACAGCCGTGACAGATGCATGTATAGTTGAGCGTCAGCACTTGTGAGCTCAGGAATGATTGTCTCCTGAAGATTTACTATATGCTGATTTAAGTGCCGACTACAAAGACGCTGACAACACAGCCACAACATAAGAACCATCATTTACTCTGATCGCAGCCAGAATTATTTTTATCTGAGTGAAATCGAGCTGAGTAACATCATCTCTCTTTCATTACATGTACAGTACAGGCCAAAAGTTTGGACACACCTTCTCATTCAATGCGTTTTCTTTATTTTCATGACTATTTACATTGTAGATTCTCACTGAAGGCATCAAAACTATGAATGAACACATGTGGAGTTATGTACTTAACAAAAAAAGGTGAAATAACTGAAAACATGTTTTATATTCTAGTTTCTTCAAAATAGCCACCCTTTGCTCTGATTACTGCTTTGCACACTCTTGGCATTCTCTCCATGAGCTTCAAGAGGTAGTCACCTGAAATGGTTTCCACTTCACAGGTGTGCCTAATCAGGGTTAATTAGTGGAATTTCTTGCTTTATCAATGGGGTTGGGACCATCAGTTGTGTTGTGCAGAAGTCAGATTAATACACAGCCGACAGCCCTATTGGACAACTGTTAAAATTCATATTATGGCAAGAACCAATCAGCTAACTAAAGAAAAACGAGTGGCAATCATTACTTTAAGAAATGAAGGTCAGTCAGTCCGGAAAATTGCAAAAACTTTAAATGTGTCCCCAAGTGGAGTCGCAAAAACCATCAAGCGCTACAACGAAACTGGCACACATGAGGACCAACCCAGGAAAGGAAGACCAAGAGTCACCTCTGCTTCTGAGGATAAGTTCATCCGAGTCACCAGCCTCAGAAATCGCAAGTTAACAGCAGCTCAGATCAGAGACCAGATGAATGCCACACAGAGTTCTAGCAGCAGACCCATCTCTAGAACAACTGTTAAGAGGAGACTGCGCGAATCAGGCCTTCATGGACAAATAGCTGCTAGGAAACCACTGCTAAGGAGAGGCAACAAGCAGAAGAGATTTGTTTGGGCCAAGAAACACAAGGAATGGACATTAGACCAGTGGAAATCTGTGCTTTGGTCTGATGAGTCCAAATTTGAGATCTTTGGTTCCAACCGCAGTGTCTTTGTGAGACGCAGAAAAGGTGAACGGATGGATTCCACATGCCTGGTTCCCACTGTGAAGCATGGAGGAGGAGGTGTGATGGTGTGGGGGTGTTTTGATGGTGACACTGTTGGGGATTTATTCAAAATTGAAGGCACACTGAACCAGCATGGCTACCACAGCATCCTGCAGCGACATGCCATCCCATCCGGTTTGCGTTTAGTTGGACGATCATTTATTTTTCAACAGGACAATGACCCCAAACACACCTCCAGGCTGTGTAAGGGCTATTTGACCAAGAAGGAGAGTGATGGAGTGCTGCGGAAGATGACCTGGCCTCCAGTCACCAGACCTGAACCCAATCGAGATGGTTTGGGGTGAGCTGGACCGCAGAATGAAGGCAAAGGGGCCAACAAGTGCTAAACACCTCTGGGAACTCCTTCAATACTGTTGGAAAACCATTTCAGGTGACTACCTCTTGAAGCTCATGGAGAGAATGCCAAGAGTGTGCAAAGCAGTAATCAGAGCAAAGGGTGGCTATTTTGAAGAAACTAGAATATAAAACATGTTTTCAGTTATTTCACCTTTTTTTGTTAAGTACATAACTCCACATGTGTTCATTCATAGTTTTGATGCCTTCAGTGAGAATCTACAATGTAAATAGTCATGAAAATAAAGAAAACGCATTGAATGAGAAGGTGTGTCCAAACTTTTGGCCTGTACTGTATATCAGCTTTAGGTTGTGTTCAGACTGACAGTAGTAAGTCGTAGTAAACAGGGTAACTCTGCTGTTTACCTCGCAAACCCCTAGATGGAGACTATAATGACTGTGATAAAATACTGCCTTGGAGTATTATAAACCGCTGTCCAATGTTTTGGCGTCTGATAACATCCTACTCGCCAGAAGAAAATGTTGACAATGTACGTTTCTGCAAACCACAAACATTTGCACGTTTCATATCATATCAACATTTCTCAAGTGATACAAGCTGATTTTCTCACTGGGAGGTGGAGAGGATAGGGGATTGCGTGTTACCAAGGTGAGACGCCTGCCAAGCTGCAGACCACTGTTTGAGACCAAAAAATAAAAACAAACAGTTGTGTTTTAGCAAGTCATTGCTGTGCTTCCAGCAGCATTTTAGGCACAAAATGTGGGTGTTTTTATGGACCTGTCACTGTATTTCCTGCCGCTTTTCAGCCGCAAAACATGGGTGTTTTTTTAGGGACCAGTATTTCCTGCAACTTTGCAGCCTCCAAACGAGGATGTTTCTGATGGACCTGTCACTGAATTTCCTGCGGCTTTTTGGCCTCCAAACTTGGGTGTTTTTTAGGGACCAGTCGCTGTGTTTCCTGCTGGTTTTCAGCCTCCAAACGTGGATGTTTTTTATGGACCTGTCACTGTACATCCTGCTGGTTTTCAGCCTCCAAATGTGGATGGTTTTTAGGGACCTGTCACTGTATTTCCTGCAGCTTTTTATCCTCCAAACATGGGTGTTTTTTAAGGGACCAGCTGCTGTGTTTCCTGCTGGTTTTCAACCTCCAAACGTGGGTGTTTTTTTTTGGACCTGTCACTGTGTTTCCTGCAGCTTTTTATCCTCCAAATGTGGGTGTTTTTTAGGGACCAGTCACTGTGTTTCTTGCAGCTTTGCAGCCTCCAAACATGTGTTTCAGCAACCCATGGCTGTTTTTCCAGCAGGGACAATGCTACAAAAAGCGGTTGTTTGTTACAGGGACATCGCTACGGTTTCTGCTGGGATAATGCCATGAAAAGTGGTGGTCTTTTATCAAGACATCCCTGCATTTCTAGCAGAGATTGTGCCCCCAAAAAACGGGTATTTTAAGCCAAAACATGATCTTTTCCAAACCAGAAATTGCCTAAACCTAACCACAAGTTAGCCACAGCATTTTTGGAATGTAAAGTTAAAGGTATCTGCTACATAATATGGTGCAAATGTAATGGAACTGCCGTTTGCAGAAATGTACAATGCCAAAATCTTGAAAATGTTTTGCATGTATCTTGATAAGACCCCAGGCCCCTTAACACCTCTTCCTGAAATCTTTAAAATGACAGCTCTACAGAGTCACACTATTGCACTCGCACTATTTTAGCCAGTCAACTCATTTTGTTAAAAGTTGGACACTCCACCACCTTGCTGCAAACGGGTGTGGGATGTTTTATATAACCTAAAACAAGGAAAATTACATTTGCCCCTAGACATAACCCTGTACTTTTTAATAAAGCTTAGAGCCCTTTTTTAGATTACTTTCAGGAGACAAATATTCAATAGCTACTATGCATTAGTGTCTTTTTCTATTGCCCTGTTATTCATTTCTTTACTGATGTCATTGTCATTTTGCTCAGTTTGGAGTCTGTACTGCTTTTTCATTTTATGCTTTATATATGTATACCACCATTTTGGATGTGCTTACACTGATGTATCCTGAGAATTTTCCGAAATGTATCTACCCTTTGCAACCCTAATTGGGATCCAAATAAAGAATACAACTCAAACTGGCCTTTCTGGATAGAACTTCATTGTCTCTTTGGTACCTGAAACAACCCATCCCACCAGCACAGCTTCATATTTCAGATTTAAGATGGGAATCAGCATTGAATGACCAATTGTTGCACTCACCACTAGATTTCCGATGACCATGACCATCAGGAAGACGACCAAACACATCCCAGCTCCGGCCACCTCCATGCAGTCCCACATGGTCTCGATCCATTCCCCACACAGGATGCGGAACACGATGAGGAACGAGTGGAAGAAGTCATTCATGTGCCAGCGCGGCAGCTCGCACTCTGTGGAGATCTTGCACACGCAGTCCTTGTAGCTCTTGCCAAAGAGTTGCATACCGACCACGGCAAAGATGAAGACGATGATGGCCAGCACCAAAGTCAGGTTTCCTAAAGCTCCTACTGAGTTACCGATAATCTTGATCAGCATGTTGAGCGTGGGCCAGGACTTGGCTAGTTTGAAGACACGAAGCTGTCTCCAACACAGGACAGACACACATAATAAAGACAGTGAATAACAATGTAGGAAGTAAAGTCATTGTGGTAAATGGATACAAATATTATTTCTCACCAGACGGAAGGACCTGAGGACAGACAGCCCCTGGACATTGGCCAGCCCCAGCTCCACCAGACTGAGAGTGACAATGATGCTGTCGAAAATGTTCCAGCCAACTTGAAAGTAGTAGTAGGGATCCATGGCGATCAGCTTGAAGAACATCTCCGCTGTGAAGATCCCAGTGAAAACCTATGGGGGCATACATATCTATTTAAATCAGGTCTACGATGTACGAACATATCTGCCGTTTAATTTAATGAGCACAGACTGTATAAATAGAGTTGACATGGCCACTGTGACGCGACCCATCAGCAGGGGAGGGCAGTCACTCATTAAGAAATGGTCATACATAGGCGAATGCAGGCAAGTGACCGTTGCCTCCCAAAGCAATATTCCTGCTGAATGTGGGAAGTGCCTGATGTGACAGAAATTCCACAAAATATGATGTCATTGTTACATTTAAATTTTCCTGACTCTGTATGCCTGTCTCCTGTCTCACTGTCAACCAGCAGCATCTCTCGTGTGGGGCAGTTTATATTTTTCTCATACAATATTGGCTGCTTAAGCATGGCAACAATCAGTATTTCCTTCACATATACTCTTTTGCTTTTGTTTGAGGCTGCAACTTCGCAGGTCAAAGTTCACCAAAGTTGAAATCAACGGGCTATGAGGATATGAATTTTCTTTGCCCCCAGAAGCAAATCTTTATAGCCTTTTTACTTGTATCTAAAACAGGAGACGAATATTAATTGCGCTCATGTGACGGTGCCCTTACAAATAATGTACATAAGCAAAAAAGTAGGTTTTTAAGGTACGAGAACTTTCATGTTCCTTTTTTTTTGTACGTCTATTTTTTACAAGTATATTTTTGAGCCAGCAGTCTACTTTTTTACCTCACTACATTTGCCATTTACACCTTCGTTACAACTAGACTGCTCTCTGAGTTTAAGGGGGAGGGGAGGGGACACGAGGAGCACCTCTACTGCAGATACCAAGACACCAGCTGCCTGGACGAAAAAGAAGCACTTCATATCTTTTGACCATGATGCGGTAACAAGCGGCAGCTTCCAGCGACAATCCCTGGCCACATCTGGCCACACTTTTAATTCCAAAATCTAAAAAAGACAACAATTACACGATGAAGTTTTGCTGTGCCTCCTGAAACCACTGAGATCTATGCTTTTAAAAACTCCTCTTCTAACCTCCACAAGCACACTGAATTACACTGCACATACTGTAGGTGAAACTGTTATTAGCTAGCTAACATTAGCTATGTTAATTTTTCATATCTATCGTATATCTTTGATTTTATAATAAAAAAATAGACGGGCAGAGATGGAGAGAGTGGGGGACTGTTCATGTCTCAAATACTGTACATAGACTATCTTTACTTGTTTGATTAGCTGACCCAAGGTGCTGTTTTTTCATTATTTTGTACTGGAAAGTAACTTCTACCCTGAGTAACTTATTAATCAGGTACTTTTTCCACTTCTGCTTGAGTCAGTTTTTATGGGAGAAATTGTACCTTTACTTGAGTCAAGATTTTCAGTACTCTACCGTCTGCTCATTGGTTTGTGGACCTTCCGTTTTGAAGCCTCCAGTTTGCCCTAAAGCATACCCTGCTTTATCGTCTAATTTATTCTAAATGGGACTATAATATACAAAATGAACATATTGAAGAAGACTTAGAGCTAGTGGTTGAGACCATAAACTTGTTAGGAAAAAGTTTACTGAAGTAATAAATTAAGTGAGAAGTAGGCTCATTTTCTCACAATCTGACTTCTTTTTTGCAACCAGTGGAGTCGCCCCCTGCTGGCCATTAGAAAGAATGCACATTTGAGGCACTTGCACATCAGCGTTAGGGCTCATTTATGCTCAACGTTAAATACGGATCCAGATAAGGACGGAGCCTTCTGTCCATGCACAGCGTTCATTTCGACCGTATTTCTGCATGTTTCCATGAAGCTTACGGATACGGGCCAAACGGAGCAGTACCACCGGGAACCGTGGGGGCAGTGTTGCTGTCACTACCCGATACGTAGCTCTAGTGAGACACGAAGAAGAAATAACAATTCAATTTCTCTCATCGGCAGTACTAGAGAAAAGAATTCTCCGTCCTCCAGTCGCGATGTATTTAACGGCCTCACCAACCACCGGCTCCTACAACGCTGCCTCTGTTTTTGTCATTTATGCAAGAGGTACATTATCAATATCTCCTCCACAGTCGCCATGTTTGTTTTTGAGTTTGTTGTTGTCATAAACTTTTGACTCTGGGCTGCCTCCTGGTGGATATATTGGTCAACATCCATGCCAACGTAAAGGGCGCATGGAAGTATGTGGGCAGTGACGGTAACATCATTTGAAACGGATGTATACATTTTCGTACATAAAGGGAGCATAAATGAGCCCTTACTTTTCAGACCCGCGAGCTATGTCCACTCAGTTTTACACAGTCTGTTATTATGGCAGATATTTACCAGATTCCCCACTGAGAGCATGTGGTCAAACTGCGGGGTCATTGGGTAGTGCTCCATGGCCATGAAAAGGGTGTTGAGCACGATGCAGATGGTGATGGCCAAGTCGACAAAAGGGTCCATCACCACAAAGTGCACCCACTTCTTAAAGAGCACCCACTGCGGGCAGCAGTCCCACTTGAGGAAAATGTCGGCAAACTTGTACCAGCCCGGTGGGCACGGCCTCTGAGCCTCCTCCAACTCTGGACAAAGAAAAACAATCAGGTAGTCTACTGTCAGGTTATCAAAGCTTTAAACATCTTTAAATGATATGCATGATACAGCTAACAGAGAGCTATGATGAGTGACGTTAAAATTTATGTCTGTGCCAAGTTATAGTTGAGCTGAAATAGCCCAAGCTTAGCACCACGAGGGCGCGACACTGAATGTTGACAGGGATTTCTCCGGCACACAATGTGATTATGGCGAGCTAAAGACAATGCTACTGTATTGGCCTTGGATATAACTAGTGTATAATGTTAACAACTGCTTGATAATCTAAGCAATTACAGCTCACATTAGAGCATCTCCTCTAAGAACCAGCAACTAAGCCTTGTGTATTTCTTCATTCCCTGGAGGAACTTGACACTTCTAGACGCTTACAGGCTGCTGCTGCTGTGTCGTCTACTTGTTTTGGTCTAATCAAAGCTATAAAATAAATCCTATATAACAGTCACTGACAATCGCCGGTGCATTATCAGTGTTGAGTACCTCCATTGGCACTGTACCTTCCATAGCAGCTGCAGTGAGCACAGTGAGAGCACTAACAGACTTCTGTGTCAGGCCCGGTTCTTCCAGATGAAGCATGCTGTGCACAGAAGAGCCTATTGACTTCTCGCTGAGTTCATACTCTGTAGTGGGCTGTAAAACAGGGTGAGAAAAATCAGTTGCAAATCAAAACCAAAAGCTTTTGGTTTTTCAGACTGACCAGATTAACTGTGACCGGAGGGCGACTGATTTACCTTGACCATGGTGGGCGCTCTGACTAACAGACGGGGGATGATTCTCCCGTTACAATCCTTGATATTCTCGTCATTGTTAGGGCTGGATTCATCATCTGTCATCTCAGACATGGTGTGATGACTGAGTGACTTACTAGTTAGAGTGAGCCGGCTCCCAAGAGCGTGAGCCTGCTAGATTTAAAAAACAACAACAACAAACAAACAAAAAAAACCCTGTTGCTTAAATTTTATGACCAACAATGCGATTTACACTTATTTTAACACTTAATATTAACAGTTTTGGTTCCAAGTTTGGTTATTTTCTCACACTTAAATCATGAAATTACAGGTATTTATTTTAATTCTTCATTAAAGCTGGGGTAGGGAGTTTAATTTTGGCTTCATCAGGGCGAAACCCCATAATAAACTTGGAGCTCATTGTAATTAAGTGGTCTGAGAGAACACCAGACTTCTGCTTCTCCTCTTGGCTCAGTTTTCAGGCTTTAAGGTGCAGACACACCAAACCGACATCAAAGAACTAGCGGCAACGAAAGCCAACTGTTGCATCGTCTACGTCGCCTCACGTCGTCCTGTGTCAGTTGCATTTGAACACACTACACGTACTACATCTGACGGCCAAGTGGCACGTACGTTCTGCGCCTGCGTGAGAGAGAGCGGAGTGAGAGAGTGGTACATCCTGTCAGCTGAGGGGTTTCCTATCTGTGCAGCCGAGCACCGCAGCACCTCCACGGACTATTACATCCAGACAGTCCTGGTGTTTCCTCCGCAGGCTCCACTTCACTCAGCTGCCTGATAAACCCGCTGCTTCTTCCCACTTTAACCTGAATAACAAACCAGGGCTCCGGTTGGATCCAAACGTAGAGCCGGGGCTAGCTTGGAGGCTAGCGGAGGCTAACTGGCTGTGCTTCCCTCCGGTCATGCTGCGGCTAACGTTCTGCTAGCCGCTCCCAGCTAGTTCTGGTTTGTTATTCAGGTTAAAGTGGGAGAGGCAGTGGATCTGTCAGGCAGCTGAGTGAAGTGGAGCCTGAGGAGGAAGCACCTGTTAGCCCCGGTTTCACTACAGGCATATTCACTCGTTACAGGGGCGAGGAAATAAAACCTGAACAGCCAATCAGAGTGATCTCTCTCAACAACAAGCTCCGCTGCCAATTCAACATGCTCAATCGGCTGAAAAGCCGCCGACGCCAAAGTGCCGACGCAAACCAACTGCAAACCAACCCAAAAGAGGCAATAAACTAAACTGACAATAAACTAAATAACACACGTCAAAATCAGCGAAGTGTTTCAGAGAGGGAGAGAAAATGTTGCAGATAGTTAAGCCTTCTGCTAACCGGAGCCACGGGCTCACGACTGCAGTTTCAAGTCCATGTTTATGTAGCTAACGTTAGACAGAGCCTTGAAGAGCTATGTCCTCCGCCTCAAAATCCACTGCTACAGACCACCACACTGTGAGGTAGCATCTCCGGAAACAGACCTCCAGTCAGCAGCTGCAGCAACTCGAATCCAGTCGACACAAACCCCAGTTCCGGGGGGACTGGCCAGCCTCCGACTCCCTTCCGGAACTTTGCGTTGCAGTCATTATACAGGTTAGACCAGGTGTTGTCACTGGCCACCAGCCCACTGTGACATCAGGCGCTGGAGGGATTTGCACTGGCCCAATTTGAGCCACCAACTGAGGGTCCCTTTCCCATGCTGCTGCCTGCTCTCCTCTCAGAGAAGCCGTTCACAGCAGGAGGGGGTGAGGCGGAGGGGTGGTGGGGTGGTTCTAATTCTTGTCTCCTTTGTGGGCTGAGCAAATGAGCTACGCAACTAAAACAATAAAATAATTTTAAATAAATCAACGTACGGGAAACACTTGGGTTACTGTTTGAAGAGCGTAGAGCTTCAGAAAGAGTGTGTATTTTGAAATTCTGCTGTTTTTGCTTGTTTTGTTGCATTTTCCAGATCTCTACCTACCCCAGCTTTAAGGAACAAAACAAAAGGTCTTTAATTTTTGCCATAAGCTGTTACATGGCAGCAACCACAGTCATCAAGTTAAAAATAGTTAAGCAAATAACTTCAACACAGCTCTAGTGGAAGTCATGAGCAGCTATGGTGCTTATTGCTTGTAAAAGTTACCTGTTCCTGATTCTTGAGTTGCTCTAGTAGCCGCTGGAACTCCTCCTCTTTCTCTATGGCCTCTCGCTGAGTTGCCTGATTCTGTTCATCATAAGCCATGGCTACCACGGCCAGGATGAGGTTGATGAGGTAGAAGGAGCCCAGAAAGATAATCACCACAAAGAACAGCATGTATGTCTTGCCAGCCGCCCGCAGGATCTGTGTTTGGAGCAAAAAAGAAGCTACGAGAACTAAGGACAAATTTGTTTGCATGACTTTATTTTTGAAAAACTTTCAAGCTATACGTCCTATTGAATCTGTTTGCAATAAATGAAAGAAGTGCCAACCAGCTGGAAGAGGTTCTCCCAGTAGTCCTGGGTCATGAGTCTAAAGAGGGCCAGGAAGGCCCAGCCAAAAGAGTCAAAACTGGTGTAGCCAAAGTTGGGGTTCCTCCCAGCCTTCATGCATGTGTATCCTTCTGGGCACTTTCTATCAACAAAGATGAAGATTCAACATGCTATAATCGCTCTCCCAGCCTCCAAATAACACTCAGACCAGACTGACCAGACAAATTATCATGGTGGTGTCAGCGTGGATGATACATACCCAGCATCAGAGCTGTTTCCACAAATCAGAGCATCCGGGCTGCCATCCAAAAAATAGTGATTATCTGTAACCAAACAAGAAGACATAGTGGAATCTTTCCCACTGAGGATCCACAGGCAGGATGATATCAGCTTAAAATACAAGATCTAATATGTGTTAAACATACCTGTGTTTTCAATATACTCAATGAAATTGAAGGTACTGTTGGAATATGCTGTCTCATTGACGCCCATGGTGTTGTTGAAGGACAGGGTGTCGTTTAACGTGGTGGTGGTGTTAAAAAATTCAAATGCAGTTTCATTTGTGTCGATGGGCCACCGCACACATTTGTGACGCAGATTTCCCATAAACAGCTGAAGGCCGACGAGGGCGAAAACAGCGAGGGCGAAGACGGTCAGAATCATGACGTCCACCATTTTTTTCACCGACTGGATCAAAGCGGCCACAATGGTTTTCAAACCTGACAAAACACAAGTTATATGTGGGGGGCATGTTTCTGAATCAGGTAAACAAATTATTTGTATTCCATTGTCACAAAACATAATGCCAACATCAATAGATGTAAATAAAAACATGAAATTTTAAGTGAAGCAAAGTCACATACAAAAATAATAAAATTCATATACAAAATATTTTAAATACCAGGAATCACAGTAATTGTTTTGAGGGCTCGAAGTACACGAAATGTCCTGAGGGCTGACACGTTGCCAAGGTCAACAAACTCAGTGACGTATCTGTGGAAAGACATGAAGCAGTTAATCAAAGGCATTATCTACATAGGAGGACTGTATTCATTTTCCTTTTTGTATTGGTTTAAAATGCACAAAATCTGCACAATATCAGGTTTCGCATTAGCTGATAGTTTGTCACTTCGATTAGGCAGTGTACTTTTATGACTGTCTTCTTTCAGACTAGTGGAGAGAAAATATCTAAACTACATATTTAGTTGTTTATTTTAGTTAAAATTTCTGTTCTGGAAATGTATATAAAAGGGCAGATTAAATCAGAGAATGCCTCATTTGAATATTTTAACATAAAACTTCAGATGACTTGTAATACAAAAAAATAATCGTCTTACTGCGTGTAATCAGCCGGGGAAGTTTCATGGTGATATCTTTTGGTTAGAATTTTTACCCTATTTACCTATTTTTTTGTCTAAAAATTCCGGCTGTTCTCATGCACTGCTTTTACATACATCTACCAAAAGTAATGCACCAGAATTCGTATATAACCCACGCAGTCATTAGCCAATAATCTCATATTCTCACATAGCTAGAAAGGCTGTGATCACATGACCAATGCACTGACAGGTGTAAAGAAGGAAGTAGTATAAAGACCAGAAGTGATGGATGGGTAAAACAACACAGAATTTTCCACATGAGACAAATGTTTGTGTCCCATGTGAAAGCAAGTGACATTTGAAATATTTTACTTTACATGGTCATCGTGTTTCTTGTCCTAAACCTAACCTATGTAACTTCATGTTATGTATGTAAAGTGACAATGCCCAACAGTGTTTCCTTTCCTAAATTTAAGCTACACATCTTTAATTTGAGTGCATAACTTTACATTATATACATAATGTGACAACGCCGAATCTTTTCCTAAACCTAACCTATATAACTTTATTTGGTAACACTTTATTTGAAGGTATCTACATAAGAGTGACATGACACTGTCATAACTATGATATGACACTGTCATGAACCTGTCATGAACATTATGTACATGTCATAAATGTTTATGACTGCTGTCATTAAGTGTCATCTGTTTTTTGTAATGACAAGTTGACATTGTTTGGGTTGTCTTGATTACGACAACTTGACATTAATCAAAGTGACATTACCAGAAGTTTGTGGTCATGACAAGTTGACATTAAATTTGTTTGGGATGTCCTTATAATGACAACTTGACATTAACCAGGATGACATTACCAGAAGTTGTCTTTGTCATAACAACTTGACATTAACAAGAAATGCAACTCTTTTTGTGTTTATGACACGCTGACATAATGATTATTATTGTCATGACAAAGACATCTTCTGGTAATGTCATCTTGGTTAATGTCAAGTTGTCATTATAAGGACATCTCACTTGTCATGACAAAGACAACTTCTGGTAATGTCACTTTGATCAATGTCAAGTTGTCGTAATCAAGACAACCCAAACAATGTCAACTTGTCATTACAAAAACCGAATAACACTTAATGACAGCAGTCATAAACGTTTATGACATATACATAATATTTATGACAAGTTCATGACCGTGTCATGTCATAGTTATGACCGTGTCATGTCATAGTTATGTAGATACCTTCAAGTGAAGTGTTAAACCTGACGTCACCATTTGTGGGGTGCACGTTAGTTGTATATCATGCCAACCACTGCATTTGCATTTTCATAGGATATCATGTGAACCATTTGAAGAACGTAAAAAAAAAAAAAAGGACGAAAATTTACAATACATATATTTAGAGGCCATTTTTCCTCAAACGTTCTGCCTGAAGTCCCCACTTCAGCTGTACTTAAATACACCAGTCTTTCCAGTTTACTCCTGCCTTTATTCTCGGGGTTTTTGCAGAGGTGTTTGTTCATATATGATGGTGAAAATATATCTATATATATATATTTTGGCTATTAGCAGTATTTAGATGAGTGATAAAAAGAGATATACAAACTAATGTCTCAACAAAATGATATCTATTAGTTAAAAGTTCTACTCTGAATGTCAAGACGTTTAGAATATGTAACAATAGGACCATTTTTCTGATATCAAGTGCAAGTGCACTTACGCCATGCTGATCACCATGAAATCCAGCCAATTCCATGGATCTCGAAGGAATGTAAAAGATCCAACACAGAAACCTCTTGATAACACTTTGACTGTTGCCTCAAAGGTATAGATTCCAGTAAAAACATACCTGGGAAGAAACACAAGTTAGCATAAGCAAAAATGAAATGTACTGTGATGCAGGAATGACTGAAAACTACAATAAAGGAGCACTCACTCGACGGTTTTACTCCATGCTGGTGGGTTGCTCATCGTCATGAATACACAGTTCGATAGAATGGTAATCATGATGAACATGCTAAATAATTTAATTCAGGATTAAGGAAACAAACACAGACATTTTATGTGTAAGTCAACACCCCCTTTAAAATCTGCATCACTGTATGTCTAGTTCAAACTTCTTTACATTTAAGAATACAATAGATAAAGCATAAATAGTTCAAAGGATATGAATGTATGAGAATTCTGATGGCTCCTCTTCTAATCACACTAAAGGGGCTCAGAATGTAGCAAGCCGGTTCAGCGTTGAACCTGTAGATTGTGTTTCCTTTGGTGATCACAATGAATGTCTGAAAAACACAGACGGTCTGTATAAATATGAGACAGTCTAAAAATACTTCCTACATTTCAATCAATACTTGGCGATGACAATCTTGAAATGATACTTTAACATTTAACTGTAACATATGCCACGAATGAAATGGTGTACATTGCATAAGGTATACTGTATGCAGCTGAGGTTTATGTTAAGTAATACATCCTCTAGGTTATGTAGGGACAGAGTTGTCGTGTGAGACCAGGATGTGCTCAGACTGACACTCTGTGCTTTGTAGAAGGGGTCCAGGTCCTCCAGAGGTGTGTTGAGCAGCTCTGGCGGAGGGTCTCCGAATATTAAGGGCAGACTCTTGCCCGCCTCCAGATCAGCATTTGGGGCCGTTGGCTCTTCCTCCTCGTGGCCCTCTTCTTCCGTGGCCTTTTTTCTTTCCACATGGCCCTCTACTTCTGCTGGCTTTTTTCTTTCCTCCTTGAGCCTCTCGATCTCCGCCAGCGATTCCTGGGTGAAACGGCGGAACATATCGGTGCCTGGGGGAGGGAGCAGGGGCGCCATCTTCGCATCGCGAAGGGATACCACCACACCGGGGTTTCCCTAGAAGGAGCTGGGGGAGGATGAGGAGGGAATACAGAGAATACAGTACATTTTGAGATGCTATGCACACTGTTACATCAACCATTTTTAATTCAACTGTTAACATTTTTAGTTGAATTAAATACTCTATAAACACCTTCTTCAGTGTCCTAAGCTGCTTCGGTTGTTCCACCCTCTGCCATACACTAATACTCTTTGGTAAATGGGGACAGCTACTGATAGCTACCACAGAAAACAAAAGGACTGTCTTCCTCCTATTTTGGTTGCACAACGGCCGACACAGTTCCTGCCTTCCTTTTAAATCAAGCTTTCATTTTCCCTGGGAATTGTACCAAGTTGCTCCGATGGTGACATTTTTCTGCAGCTATTACACTGTGAAATCAACATTTACTTCATGATGATGAAGCAAAAACACTTGTCTAAACTTGACTAAAAATAAAACTTACCAGTGCTCTCCTCAAAGCCAGACTCCACTGACAAAAACTGATATTTTACCTTGCTGGACATGGAAGCCGCTGCTCTACGGCTGCCTCAATCAGTTAGTTATTGTGACTTATTGTGTGACTTTGGTGAATCCAAACTGACCCTTTAAAACACCACGAGTCACATAGTTACACAAACAAACTGCTATGCGAGACAGTGGTAGAGCAGCAGCTCACATGTTCAGCAAGCTAAAATATGTGTTTTTGTCAGTGGAGTCTGGCTTCGTAGAAAGCATAGATAATTCCACTTTTAGTTTCGTTCCCTGTCAAAAAAAGGTTGTCTGTTGGGAAGAACTGAGCATACGACAGGATAGATGAGACTTGCATTATGCTGCAGGAGTTGTGTGAGAGGTTGGATTCTTCATTCAAAATCAAAGTTTTATTCACAAATTCAGCGTAACATGGGGTGAGTGACTGATATGCAAATGGTCATTTTGGGGGCGAAGTGTTCCTTTAAGACTCCTCCGATTCCAATCAGTATAAAATGTAGTCCATGCATTACAAATTACCACTACAAGTCCCGAGACCCAAAAACAAAAATTACTTATTTGAGTTATTAAATAAATAAAGTAAGGCCCGACCATTTTATCGGCCGGCCGATTTAATCGGCCGATTATAGCCATTAGAGAATAATCGGCAATCGGCCAAAAGTTGCCAGGCTGACGCTGATGTTAACACTTATATTTTCATCACTAATAAAATGCAGGGAATATGGTGTTTTACTTAGAAATGATGTCCTTGTGTTACTTTTTGCACTATAACCTACCTCTGTTAAATTGGCAATAATAAGAACAACTCTGGTACTGTGAACATACATGTGAATGTCTTAATTCATATAGACTTTGCATGATTATTTTATTTCCCAGAGGTTTACTGCCTTTTTGCACATCATATTTTTGATTTATTTTGAATTCAAATTGTTCATATGCTGCTTGTTCCACACAATTTCTGATAATAAAAGTATGTGAAAATAGTAAAATGTTCTTCCTTCAAATTATATCTTTGTAACGAGTGTTTGAACTATATTTAAGCCATCAAAAGCAGGTATTTTGGGTTTTTTTTAAATTGAAAAACGTAAAAAACTTTTTATTCCATAATATCGGAATCGGCATCGGCCCCAAAAAATCCATATCGGTCGGGCCCTAAAATAAAGTATTAAATTTACGGTGGTATGAAATAGAGAAATGTTTCTTCAGACAGATGGCAGTGGACAGATGACAGAAGAGAGACGAGGAAGAACGTGCAGCAAATGTCAACTTAATGCTGAGGCCACCAGGGCAACCCATGTTTGATATTTCTATTCAATAAATGATTGAGGGAAAAGCACTAATCAGTTTTCTGATGATCAGTTGATCGAGGGATTTCCTAGTCTTTTAAGCATTGGTGTGTCACAGATGTATTAAAACAGTGGTTCTCAGCCTTTTTTCTTAAGGGGCCACTTTTCTATTAATGAATGTTGCATCAGAGATCAGTTTTCGTGACATTTTAAAAAGTTTATATGCGAGCCTCTCTCTGTATTTTTAATTTTCTTATTTGTTAACAGTTACTCAAACTTATTGGCTTCTTTTTTGACAAATTCAGTGTTCTTTTTCACCCTGACACTTGGCCATTGTTCTGTTAGCTCTTGGGTTGTTTTAACTGCACACTTTGCTAATGCAGGAGGCTGTGTAGTAAAGAGTAAAGGCTCTGTGAGTACAGCTTGTGCTCAAGTCTTAACTGTGACCTTGTCCTGTGAGATTTTTTTTAAAGTTTAGATCTTGAATAACAATATAAACTTTGAAAATAACAATTTCATTTAGCGTTCTTCACAGAAATGAATGAAATGCTGAGATATAGGCCTCCTGTACAAATATACACATATATTCTAAAGTTTTCTTACACCCCTTAAAATCAAGAAGGCCTCACGACCCCCTGTGAAGATCTGGTGACCTCTAATGTGGGTCGGGACCCCAGGTTGGGAGCCAGTGTATTAAAGCAGTGATGGGGTTGTGATGAAAAAGGTTATACTAAACAAATTTCTACATATTTATATCATATTTTTTGGTTAAATATCAAATAGTTTGACCTGTTCTTGTGTTATTTAAATGACAACTGCTTAAAATATTTTAAACCCGTGATCAGGGGTCACATGTAGACACACCTTTGTCTTAAGAGGTCAAAAGCCAAAAAGGTTAGGAACCACTCTGCTAAACGTCTATGTCTCCATATGTGTCTGTGACCTATGTCCAAAGCCCTCACCCTCCTGCCCTCCACTCTGTGCCCCACATCTCCGACCCTGCACCCCTCTCTACACCACGAGTGCTTAAAAAGTGTTTAAGATGGCACCTAAATGACTAGATGCACTCGGGACGAGGGCTCGGACTTTCCCACCGTTCTAAAGAGACCATGACATTACTAGTGTACATCAGATTACTTATTAGCTTAGCAGACGCTCCATATCAGGGTCCAAGTGGCGTTCGCTTACATCCTTTGATGTGTTTAGCAACCAGTCTGGTTTCGTCTGGAGCAGCTGAGGTTAGGCTCCTGATAGTACAGACACAGTGGTTTATTCTCCTTTAAACTGGTGGATCCTGCCATATAAAACAAAAGATACTACTTCTTAAGTTGTCACACTTCCTGCTATGTAATTTTACAACAACTTAACCTGAAGATGGTATGTTATTGTTAAATAGCTATGTGGATCTTGACTGGAACAAGTTGAGAGGGAAAATATATTTGCTAGAGAGCAACACAATCAACATGCATTCTGCAAATGTTATATATTTTAAGTTGAATGAGTTGCAAATGAGCTTTGATATGTATTTGAAAATATTCTGAGGACAAAGACACAATTACTACTGTAAAGGTGGGCCTTGAAGGAGCAGTGAGGATTCTAGATTGCAACCAGCTGAAACTACTCTGGGTTAGAATTCATTCAGTGTTCATTGATCAGGAGGTTTTCACTGGGAGCTGAATTATTCGCTGAGGTTTCTTCCTCTCCAAAACATACAGACCAAGTGATTGAAATGTATAGTGTCATGATTTTTAGCATGTTGAAGGCGGGCTGCTAGCCCAGCACCGGATCTAGACGTTCAGGAGGTTTTTACCGTGAACCAAATTGTTAGCAGAGGTCCCCCTCTCTCTGAAACAAACTGACCCGCTGATTTAAACCAGTAAAAATAATGCATAAAGCAGTTTCAAGTTACAAATCAGTGTTTCCAGAGTGCTATTTGGCATGGCAGACACGGGCAGCTAGCCCAGCAACAGCAGGTGCACGCTCTTTTTCTATTTCAGACGGTGATTTAAACCCGTAAAAAAACTGATAAGAGCAGCTTCTTGTTAAAAAAAAAAAAAACAGTGTTTTTCTGACACTCTAATTGCGGAGGGGCTGCTAACTACAGTGGCCGACGCCAAAATACAAGTGGCCCTATTTGGAGCCAGTGTTTTATTGTCTGCTTGGGGCTACTGTAGAGACGTGGCGGTACAACATGGTGGTCTCCATAAACGAGGACCTGCTCTGTATGTGGATTAAAACATCTCATTCTAAGGTGACAAAAACACAGCGGTTCTTATTTTCAGGTGAAGATACACTGCAAAAAACATACATATTATACTATATTCCTTTTCTGCCAATATATCCTCCTAAATCCTACACAATGGACCTTTAAGCTAACAAGAAATGGGTTAAAGGAAAGGTTTTTTTTGCAAAAATCATGTCAGATTATTTAAAAGTAACTACAAAGCATCTCATTTTGGCTGTCGCCTTCAGACGTCACCACTTGCAATAAAGTCTGTTAAACTGAAGTTTAATGTCTTCATGCTCTGAAACTAAGATACAGAGACTAAACACAGAATAAAGACATGCCATTTATCACCGGAACAGACAAACGAGCTGGTATCAGGCTGCAAAAAGAGAAGAGTTCACAGACACAAGAGGCAGTGATAGCCACTGGTTACACACATTAATATAGGCCCCCTCAAGCCACCTCACTCAAACAGAAAATGATGCATTCACACACTTGTGAGCAGACGCACACGCTCGCACAGATACGGTGGCTACCCAGCTGCTCCAGGCAATCAAGAGAGAGCGTCGTGTTTCAGAGGCCCGATGACTCTGCTCATTCCTTCCTGGCTGAGCCTTCGCTCTGCGCCTCACATCCCTCCGATAAACAGGACGGCATGCCAACTTATCTTTCCGAGCTGACTCTTCTCTCCACTACCTTCTATTTTACACGGGGGCCCCAAACACACTAAGCTTCCGCCTCCGCACCCCTTATGCGCTACTTTACAACCCCACCACCGCCTATGTGACACTTGAGGCTCTGAATCCTTCTTTCAATGACTTCAATCATTTCATCATAACCCTATCACTCATCACAGCCGCCATCTTTAATCACTCAAACACAACTGACAGGGCTCCTTTCTCCTTAAGCAGTAATACTACAGGGGTCAGTTTATCTTACCCAAAAAAACTTTAGATTTATTACCAATATCAAGGCAACCTGCACAGCCCAACACCTTCCAAGCCCTAGTTTCCCCCCTCATCTTC